TACATAATTACAATATCATCGATTTACAATTTCCGCTTCATGATTGTAATCTCGAAAAACAAAATGTTTCAGAATATCGAAAAAGTTCTCTCTTTAAATAATTTATGAAAATTGAAACTACATTTTTGTGACAATGTCAATTAGTTGTTGGACGTTTTGTGATGTAATAAATTTATGTAAATTTTTAATAGAGGTGCACTATACGTTGCTTTTAGTGCTGATTATAATAGTATCCAGTTTATGAGTCCCAAAGGTGCTGATTAATTATTTAAACGTTAACGCTATTAAAACACGATAAAGAACATTTTTTTATCTAACAGACTTAATGCTTTACTCTCCCAAATGTTAAAAATTCAAGAAGGAAAATATTTAACAAGAAAGCAATTAAACAAAGCAAAAAATTTCAAAATCGAGTTTGAAATGCGTTATTTTCGTCAATTTCCTTCGTTTAGCATTTTTTTGATGAAAAATTAATTAACTAAAAACGTGAAATTTAAGCGAAAATATGAAAAAAATATATAGAATCCGTTATAAAATGCGTTAGTTTCGCTTATTTCCCTTAATTTTAGAGCGTTTTTGAAAAATTTACTCAAAAAATTTTGGCAATAAGGCAACATTGTATATTTTTGTCTGTTTCGCTTTCTCTGAAACTGTTTTTCAATAAGAAAATCACTGAATTCAAAAATTTTACAAAAACAAAGTATTTTTGACCGCAAACATAAGATTTGGAGGATTTCTCAGAAAACAAGACAACAAAATTGTAATTGTAAAGTAAGTAAATTTTACTTGTTTTGGTATATTTGAAGATAAATATTTGCAGAAAACAGCAGAAGACTCACCTGTTTTTAGGTTATTTCGCTCAGTTTTAGTAAGATTTAAAAAAAAATTTTGCTAAAACAAAGTAGAAATTTACAAATTTGGTTTGGAACGAGTTATTTTTGTCTCACAAATTTGATTTTATAGCCCTTTTATATCAAAAATACTTATTTACCAGAACATGCAAAAAATAGCAAAATTGGTTGTTTCAATCGTCTTTCTCTAAAAAATCAAGGTAAAGAATTTGTGAAAAAATAAGATTAAAAATGTTTTCACCTGGTTTACTAGATTATTCCAAGAGAAACTCACTAGATTTAAGAAAGGTTATAGAATTAAGTTTGAAATGGGATATTTTTGCCTGTTTTACTTGATCATAGAACATTTTTTACAAAAAAACTTACTTAATTTGAATAAATTCGTTAAAACGAGGCACAAAATTTGTAAAATTAGCTTCTAAATTCACTATTTTTACCTATTGTGGTAGTTATTGATCAAAAAACTTTTGCACAAAAGGCAAAAATTTTTACAAAAAACTCATAAAGCTTGAGAAACGCGGTCAAAACAACGCAAAGCTTATATTTTCGTTTGTTACAGTTACTTTAAAGCCGATTTTTGCTAAAAAATTCACAAAACTCGCTAAAATATCGCCAAAACAAGATACATTTTTTGTCTGAAATTTGTTATTTTTGTTTTCTTTGCTCGCTTTTAAGACACTTTTTTTAAAAAGTTAATAAATTTAGAAAATTTTGTTAAAACAAAGATAAAAATATAGAACTTTTTCAATAATTAAATATTTTATATGTTTTGTCCGGCGCATCCACCATTTTTACACAATGCTATTTATTAGCAAATTTTTAAAATTGTAGATTTTAGTTGTTTTTGTGTCTTATTTGAACAACTTTTTTTAGGAGTCAATAATAACTTTTTTACAAATCAAACCTATAATTACAATAAAATTGTACAAGTTATTCCTTATCTAGTCGGTTACAATCATTAGAAATATTTTCTCATTTTTTACTAGACTCAACATTTTATAACATTCTCCTGTTTTATTGTTAAAATTTAAGTTTTGATAAATAAATTTTAATACGAGTTCCGAATAGTTTTCTTAATGAAAAGTAAACAAATTTTATCTGTTTGCAGATATAAAGTTTGTTATTTAACTGTTGGCAAAGTGACAACAAATCTTCTCTTATAGTTTAATTTATAAGAAGGATAAACTATCATAATTTCAGTTTATGAAATATTTTGCATGCAAAACTTTTAAGCTATATTTTTCTTAGAAACTCAGATCAGTATAGGATCTTTTTTTCAGGAATTTTTCGTGAAATATGCAAATAATAAAATTCATGGGACATTCCCACCGATCACTTAATTCTAAATCCATTACAAGGATATTATTCGAGTGGCGGTAGAAGAGGCGTCTGTGGGTTTTTTAGTGCGGTGCGCAAAGTCGGCAATGGTCGGATCAACCATTAAAGTTAATTGAATTTCCTTAGCGTCTGCATGCGAAATGTTGAACCGCCAAATTGACTTGGAAATGGCCGTGAAGTAGGCGATGTATTGCGGAATATCTGAATGGTTGAGCACCTTGAGAGTCACCACGAGGGCTTCTTTTCAACATCGACCGCCGACCTACACACCGAGTAGATTAAATAATTCTCTACACATTCTTCGCGGCCATAAACGGAAATGTTTGCAACTTTCATGAATAAAACCAACGAAAGTAATACGGGGATCAACGGGGAGGATTTAAACACACACATCTCGTTAAAATATTATGCAACAAGCAGGAGAATCAAGACTGGTTTTTTGCAAGTCTGAAACGATTTTTAATAAAAAAACAAATTTGTTTTAAACAAGGTAGAAAGCTTTAAAAGGCGTAATTTTTATTAGTTTCACTCAATTTTAGAACATTTATTATTGAAAACGAAAATAGTTCTTCACAAAAAACTCAAACAACAAGGCAGAAAATTTATAAATTAAACTCTCAATTTTAATTACGTTAAAAAAGTAAAAATGTTCTGCAATTAGTGTTGCCTGTTTTGGTAGATATTAGAGTGTTTTTTATTGAAAAAGTCACTAAATTAAAGAAATTTACAAAAACAAAGCAGAAAATACGAAGAATCAACTCGAGTTTAATGATTTTTTACCAAAAAACTAACTGAGAACAAGACAAAAAATAGCAAAATTGGTATTTTTGACAGTTTTCTTTGAAAGTGTTTTTTTTATTAAGAAACTTATTGACTTCGAAAAATTTTCGCCTGTGTTACAGCATTTTAGAACATTTTTACCGCAAAACTTAATAATTGTGGTAAAACAAGACAAGAATTTGTAAAATAGTTGTGAAATGCGTAACTTTATTATAGTCTTCTTCGGTAGATATTAGAGAAAAACTAACTTGAGAATATTTTTTCAAACAATAGTTGCAAAATTAGGTTTGAAATTGTTACTCTTTTTTTCTTGGTTTTATATTATTTTTTACCGAAAATATAAGACAAAACTCATATTTTTGTCTATTTCGTTTACTTTGAAACCCTTTTATGTTGAAACTCACTAAATTTGAGAAATTTTACGAAAAACGGCAGGGAATTTGTCAAATTACACTTTAGGTTTTTATTTTTGCTCGTTTTATACAATGTTTTTATCAAACAATTTTCTCAAAAGGCAAAAGATAGGAATTTATAAAAAAAAGATTGAATTGCATTGGTTTTACTTGTTTTGCCCGCTTCTAAACCGTTTCTTTAAGAAACTTTTATACATTTTACTAAAATTCAATTATTTTAAAAAGTTAGATCTAAAATTTGTTATTATCTCCTGTTTTGCGTGTTGAAAAAGACGAAAAACGCGTTAAATTTGGGGAATATTGCCAAAACAAAACAAAAAATTTAAAAATTTGTTTTGAAATGCACTATTTTTGCCTGCTTCTCTTAGTTTAGAGCAGTTTTCTCTGAAAAACTCGACAAATTAAAAAAAAATTGCCAAAACAAGGTAAATAATAATAGTATGTATTTTTACGTGTTTGGCTCGCTTTAAAACCGTTTTCCACTGAAAAACACGAGAAATTTTACAAAAACAAAGCAAAAAACCTATTAAATTAGGTTTAGAACGCGTTATTTTTGCCTATTTTACTAGATTTTTGAATATGTCTTATCTCTTTACTGATTCTAGAAAATTTTGATAAAAACAACGCAGAAAATTTATAGTTAAAATTAATCTCAACTTCTTAACCAAAAAAATGCTCAAAACTACAAACTGTAATTTCCGTATTTTAATTTGTCTTTTTATCATATCTTCTGTGTTTAATTAATTAAATACGAGTTTCTACAGAAACTCATGAACCGTGTAAAAACACCCATTTTGTGTACTTAACATTTCAGATTTCGCCTCTCTATTTTGATTCATTTACATATTTTCTAACTCCCATATCGATTTCCCTTAATTTTTACCATTCAAAAATCTTATTTTTTCTTTCGAGAATTAATAGTTTAATCAAAACTATGCCACTTTTATTATAAACATGCCGAAGCCCTCTTGATTTACGTATCCAGATCAGAATACAAATGGACTTTGGCCATGACTCGTCAGAAAATGGGATTGAATTAACCCTCCTGAGGAAAGATTTCGTATCACATGGGTCAACGTTGGCGAGCGTTATCGTGCGGGGCATTATCTATTCTAACATCAAGTGGAAATATTTCAGCTTTGGAATTATTATGAATTGTGCAAATATTTGGAATTATAAAAATTATGTTTGAATTACTTGGAATTACTGCAATTTTTTTGGTAATTACAGTAGATTATTGGTATCAGTTGAAATTATATTGGAAAACTATGTTAATAATTTTAAAATAACATAAATGCTCGTTATTTTCCCTCTCTAGTTTTAAAATTCGGCGTTGCGACGTCACGTTCTTCCCTATATGAATTTGTTTTGGTTTATCGTAAATCGTGTTGCATCGGTATTGGATGCATCTGGTAGAGAAATCACGTCGTTCATGTACCACAGATTTTTATTAAGGATTTGTTTGTTTGCATGTGTGCACGATATTCAGTTGGTGCTCAATTTAAATCGAATTTACAAGCAAACAAAGAACGTGAAAACGCCCTTGTCCCTCGAAAATTGAGTCGAGAAGAAGAAGCACAAAGCTTGTTTTCACTTAAGGGGAGAAAGGTAGACTTACCTGTCGTAGTAGTAGTCCCTGCAACAAAATAAATCATTAGAAAATTATTAAAAATATTATTTTGTAAATTAAATTTCTGCATGAAACTTAATTTAATGTGGCAGAGCATTCAGGCCCTTTTTTCAGAAAAATATGTTATCTCGTGTGATGATGTTTTAGACGTTTTTGCTGATACTAAAAAGAGAAAAATACTGGAGTTTAGATATTTGCTTTTAAATTTTTTTATACAATTTAGTTATTTTAAAATATATATTAAAAACTAAATATTATTTGTCACCTCTTTACAGGTTGTATTGATTTGTGCCTATGCAAAAATAACAAAAGAAACGTTTTAGCAGAAACACCTGTAAATAATATAAAAATATACGACTTTTTTTAAAAAAAGAATTTAATTTGTTATAAGCACAGTTTAAAAAATGAAATAATAATAATAAATTATACTTTAAAATCATAAAAATTCAGTGAGAAAGACAGAATTTTCAATATGACAAAAAAATATGTTTAGAGGTTTAAAAGTCGGAGTTTTATTAACATTTTTTTTTACAGATATTACATTTTTCACATTTCTGACAATAAAATTCTTATTTGTAATTAGATAATTAAACAATTTGTAGACCTATTTAACAGTGACTTCCCCTCGAATTAATGAAAATCGAATCTGTAAACTAATTAAGACACTTTCCGAGAATCTGTTTAGATGTTAGATTTAATATAATTATCTTTACAATCTTGTTAGGTAGCATGCACAAAATTGGTTTATTCATGACGATGCTGCTATTAAATATTTGTTCAAAAAACAGAATTTTTCCTTTCAACTTAGTTCACACTGTGTTAAAACTACAGCATTCAACTTAGTTGCTGAAATTTCATCTTTGGATGAATGAATCGATCAACATCTCAATCGTGCTATTTTGGCATCTCAACTTCTTGTCTAAACAAACCAGCCAACTCGCTAACAACAAACCAAACATTCGAATTCTCTCGATCAAATCTGAAACTCTCTCTCAAGTCAAAAACCATTTTTGCGTAAATCGACACAGCTTTGTCAAGAAGGGGAATCCCACGTGAGTGCTGACCACAAAACGTGAGATGTTGACTTGGAAGTAATCGAGTGTGGAAACCTTGATTACAACTACTGGTCGAGTACTTGGACAAATGCAGGAGATGAAACCTAGCTATCAACTAAACAAATGGATAAAATACAAAAAAAATTTCAGCAATTTGTTCCACTAAATGATCCCTTTTGATGTCAAATTTTCAATATGTGCATTTGTAGTCAATTAGGGACTTTTATTAAAATTTTGTCGGAAAAATTAAATTAACATTAATTTTGTTAGTGGCGATATTTCGTTTAGTTTCGGCTGTGTGATTATACGAATATTTACATTGTCTAGTTTTTAATTAAAGTATAGGTATTAGTACGTACTAATGAATGCGACTCTCTAATTAAAAGTTTTAAAAATTAATTAATTAAAGGTGGAAATACAAATTGTTCTGTTTACTAGAGTGTGAAATGCAAAGCATTTTTAGCAATATTTTTATTCCAATTTAAGACTAAAAAATTGATTGATAAATAAAATAAATCTTTGTCACTAAACAAATTTTTTTGATTATTAGTTTAATGTTATTAAATCTATTATTTTAAAAGCAATTATAATTATCGGTAACTAGAAATCGAATAAATTCACTATTGTGCATACAGCTCACGTTCTCAGTGCTATTACCATACCTTGAAAAAAGCTGCAACAGATTTATGAATCGGAGATATTTTCCTATGAATATTTATTAGAGCGATATATTTTTCGCGTATATTTATTGCAAGAAATAAGAAAACCTCATACTAGAGCATACGATATCCATTACAATTTCTTTTCTTAAATCTTTATCCTGGATTTGGGAGATAAGTGTGTCTTGTGTGACTAGACTAAAAGATTTAATTCCTTGTAAAAGGAAGGTAATGGTTTTTGGTAATCCCTCCTCAAGATTTAGAAACGTGCCATTCTCACGGTCTGTGTCAGTTTTGGACGAAACACGACGTTCTTGTTGGTAGTAGGAAAAAATCTTGCTTGTTAAATAAGAGTTTTTTTTCGTCGTAAATCTGATCTCAACTCGCTCTAAAGTCTAGCATTACATCAAATAGACTCCAATTTCTAAGCTGATTCAGCAATGCTGAAAAAGCCCGTATTGAATAACACAAAAGTCACGATCGTTTAACATCGACATTTTATTTATAAATCAGCGAAAGCTCTCGGAATCGCTGAGACAAAACAAATAATCGCTACTTGGAATAAAATATCATCGTCTTGGAGCTAAAGAGGGAAGAGAATGCAGCTAACTGCAACATTACACCCCTTTACCGGCTTGTCTTTTTCAATAATACGGACTTTGATCCACCTGAAACCAGACGCATTCTTTCAGCTCGAGAGAAAGCAAAACACTCAAATTTTTTCTTCAGCGTCACTTTCAGATTTCAAATTGTTCAGATTTCCAAAAATTTCTTGGTCAGTGGGTAAGTATTTGATAAATTTTAATATTTTATTTGGAGAAAGAGAATTGGAGAAATTAAGAATTTTTGTCTTTTTAAATTTATAGTTAATGATGTTTATTTCGTCATATTTAAAATTGGTTTGATACACAAAATTAAAATAGATTTGAGTAATGAGACAAAATAACTTTAATTTTATTTTTGCCTCAGATTATTTTGTATTTTAAAGTAAAAAAACTCATTCCAAACGTCATTATTTTGCATGAAGCGATCCCTCATTGATACAAATCTTTACGCGTTCCGGAATTAAATCCTTAAACACTCCCGTAATAGATTTTTATTTAGGATGATAAGTTTCGCATAGGGGCGGCTTGAATTACAAATTGGGGTTGGCGCAGTATGTAATTCGGAGGTAGGAATTTCGAGCCAGAAGCGACCGCCAAATTAGAAATCAAATATTCCATTTCGACCCCCATTTAGGAGCATTTTAGCATTCCTGATTCCGGTCTTAACGGGGGATTTGGTGGCTGGCGTGGGCCCGTCTCGACACGCCAAGGTATCATTTAAGCCTTCCTCTTCTTATTTTCAAACCGAATTTACATAGCCCAACCCAAAACCATTCGCAAACAGTGGAAATATTTCACTTGCATTTAATTTTTTTTTAATTAAAAAAATGGTAAATTGCTTTTAATTAAGAGCTTACTAATTGTGAGATTAAACAATGGAACATGTGTAAATTTATCTTTGAATGCACAAGAGTCGCGTTCGGTGACGGGGAAGTCGTAATAGTTCGTCCCAGTTGGTGAACTAACATAAAATTATAGATTCCCAGCTTCCCAGCAATTACGATGCAAGGCTTCACTAATTGTGGCTTGTTCTCTAATCTTATCTTGCAGTCACGTCCTGTGACTTGGCCGTTGCTAAATCGCTCCGCGTCAAGCTGATTTAAACTGCAAGCCAGAGACATTGGCCAAAATTCACTAAAAACACCTAATTTTGCTAATTAAAAAAGAAAAACACGATTTATTTTTCAAAATTTCAATTTTGTTCTATACAGGGTGTTTACAGTCTTGGAGTTGAAAATTGATCTAATAATAAAAGAATACAGAAATACTGTAACCAAGAAAAAAAACTCACACAATTGTTATTAGCAAGAATGTTATTTAACTCTAAAATATTGGTACACGGTTTGAGGTCACTGGAATTATTTCCTTCTTAAGATGAAATTGTATAGTTGCAACAGATAAAAAAATCGTATCCATGACAATGAAAGAGAAAAGTCGCTTCATAGTTTTGACACTGTAATCATTTGATTTGCTTTTGCTTTAGTTTTTATCAAAAGATCTTCTGCTTAATCTCTTTCAACGAATGGTTTCCAATAGGTTTGATTCGTTTTTCTTAATTTTTCTCCAAATTTATAAACATGTATGGCAAAATATTAAAATAATTAATTGGTTGTCGTGATTATGATTTACGGTGAAACACAAGGTAATGAAACTAATGGCCATTGTTGCAGCCAAAGCAGCAGTTCTCAAACAAATAGTGTAAAATGAATAATTTCCTTTAACAACGTGAATTTTTGTTTTATATAGCGTATCAGTTTTTTTTTTCTACCGTGAACATCATCTCATTTAAATTTCAACCTAAAGACCGTAAACACCCTGTATAACATCAAAATATTGCAAAAATTTTGTGTCTGAACTACTTTCTTGGTTTAGGTTAATGCGGGAGGGATAGACCAGAGGGCTGGTGTGTGCAACTCAAACTTGATTAAATGTAATTTAATAATCACTGTCTTCGCATCGGGGATAGTTGAACCACTTTTATTGAGGATAATTTTTGCTTTCCCTTTTGGTGCAAATCTGCTTATGTATTTAAAAGGACATTTTTTTAAATTTTGTTATTAGTTTTGTTTGAATTAAAATAAAGATTATAGTTTTATAATAAATTAATAAAATTTTACTGAAATTAGTGACAAAGACTTCATTTGTGACGTAGAACGTTTATTTTGTACTTGAAGAGTGGAGAGTATTTTGACGTTTTTCTTTAAAATATAAAGACAATTATAAAAATCGCACAAAAACAATAAAAATTTAAATCAAAATAAAAACAGTTTTTTAGACTGAAAAATAGCTTAGTACGACGAATTTTTTTCCTTTGAAGCTTCCCATTTCAAAAGATTTGTGACGTAGAACGCTTATTTTTTGTTTGAAAAGTGCAAAATATTTTGACGTTTTACTTTAATAGTTTATTAAAAAACAAGTTTCGTAAGTCCAGTCTTGATGCACGAATTCAAGTTTAAAAAACGAGTGGCGTATCCACAAGTTATTTTAAAGATGAGTGCTTCAAGGTTTTATGAAACGAGTTTTTTATACTATTTTTGTGTAATTTTTTCTCTTTATGCCGTTTCTAAACAATTTTTTTACTTTAATTGATTAAGGGATTGTTGCTACGTTTGGTAATGTCTTAATTTTAAAAGTCAATTTGATCTAGCGTCTTTTGACTTTTGACAAAATGAAGGTAAATTACAAAA